TTTACAGCAGCAAGCAGCGTGGTACAGACATACAGGAAGACACATATTTCCCTTCCAAAGCTGAGATTCTGTATTAGCTGCCCCAGTAACCATACAGAGAAAGATCTGGGCATAAACAGGATGCTGGCTCTGGCTGCACAGTATGTTATTATATACACTAGGTAGCTGCAACATATGATTTCAGGTATGACCATAAAAACATTCTGACTTTTTCTCTGGTATTTAAACACATACTAATAAACAACAACGTGCATGAGAACAAGCACCTAATTCCTATCTGCATGGACATACCTTATGTGTAAGTGCTCATGATTTCCTAAACATTAAGCTTTCCAAAAGTGACTATGGTCAACTTTTCTTCTATACTTTTACCTACATGGGGTGGTACTTCTGAACCAGATGATGAGAAAAGGGCATTTTAGAAATGACAATTCTGAAGCATGTCATGTTCTCGTTCAGTATTACAACGTTAAACTACACCCCTGAGAGCTGGTTTGGAAAGGAAAGCTTAAATATTGTCCTTTACAAAGAGTATGCCAGAGCAACAATGTTTCATAAAAAATTAACATTAGCACTAAAATATTCAAAACATTCTTGTATTTACTCCATCAAAACCATTCTTCCTCCCCTCCTTTTTTTTTTTTTTTTTTTTTTATGCTAGCACCAGTGACAGTATCAATTTCTAACTATTCCTTTCCTTGAACACGGTTACTGCTAACAAAACAGGGACACAGCTGAAGACAAGCAGGCTTATTTTACTAAATAATGTAACTAGTTATTTCTGATGTATTAGTCTGATTTACTGTTTCCAAACAAATTTTTCATCTTAAGTGCAAAAAAGTTGATTTCTATGGTCTGGTTGATGTTTTTTCATGCATGCAAATTTTTTAGAGAACGTTTTGTCTTTAGCTCCCTGTTATGCACATTTTTAAGAGCTTAATGTTTGCCGCCTCCACTTAATATGAAAGAACGTTGCACATTTTCGCTGAATGTCAGCGAGAGAGTTGCATTACAGGAATCGCGCCTAAACAACTCTGATACCGTGACCAGGTATCAGCAGAATGCCACTCCATACTGCAAAAGTTTAATCACTATAACACAACCAATATAAAATGGAAACTTCCCAAAATACAGTGTGCAAAGGGTAGGAAACTCAACCGCCAGAAAATACTGAATTAAGAAAGGCTCCCTTATTTAGAAGATATAAATTGAAATAAAATGAAACGAAGTGAAATAAAATAAGTAAAATAAAATAAAAGCCTTACAGAGTCTTTATAATATATTTACAGTTTATTTAGGTCAGTTAATAGGAGTTTTGTCTCATCAGGCAGGAGATGAGGCAGCATCAGTCTCTCCCAAAGCACCTCCAGTATTTTACTAACGAAGTTACAGTACATCAGAATATTTTAATCTGACACAAAGAACAACAATAGATCTGACTGCTGGGCCGATAATCTTCTTATCACACCCTGTGAAACCTAGCTCTAATATTTGACTGAGCCTCCATTACTCGGCAACACATTCTAAAAAGGCCAACAATGGAGAGAGAATGAAGTGGAGTGTGGAAGTACCTCCATATCTACATAAAAGAGATTAGAGGCGACAGCGTTCCATTTTACAGCTCAATCATATTGTGTTAGCATGCGCTTATCCGAGCGCGGATGAAATTGAAAGAGAAATAAAAAAGAGTCAGGCAGATAGGAACCATAAAAGCGAGGCATGAGCAATTTCCAAGGATATAAAAGGATGCTAATGGCGGGGCCCTGTCATTCTTAAAAAGGGCTATTAGGGCACCATCATCTGTTCTTGTGCCCTTACGCCTCCCTAACTAAAGTCAAGCATTTCCTAATGCCATTGTGATCTTTTTCTTCTTCAGATAAGACATGGTCATGTTTCATAACAACACACTTTCCATTTATTTGATTTATAAATGCAAGGAGACTAATTCTATTTACTGATAAAGGCTTTCCATATATATTTTTCTTTCAATATTTCCTTTTGTAGATGGTATAGACTTTTTGTTCAATAAAAGCAACTATTGAAATGTTTCCAATACCACAAATATACTAATGATTTTATGAAAGCACCTGAACTTTGTATAATTTGAAAACATTTTTTAGTTGATGACTGCGATGGGAAATGGTTGGCCAGGGCAGAATGTGTATTGCATTGTTACCTTTCCATAGATAATCCCATTAAAAGAGTTTCTTTTGGAATAGCAAAAACATTGTTTCGCTTTTTCCACAAAGACAAATTTTACACTGCAATGCTTTACAGTTGAGATCTTTATTAGTTATTAAGCACCTGATATATAAGGGCCTTTAATTACACTGAACCTTAAGAAATCACTATAGTAAAGAAAGATTTGCTGATTGCTGCTTTGCTGTGCTAGGCACAAATTCACTACTGGTATAATTAATCGACTCTAAGAGATTTACACCAAGGATTTACTTAGTCTGCCAAGCTAAAGTGAACTTTCATGCAATTTGCACCCTCTTCCCCATTCTGTTATGTTTCTGCCTATAGAAACATTTGTTAGCTTAGAAAATAAGTCAGCTAGCACCACTCCAGGCTCTTCTACAAGTTGTTTTGTGCCAGATATTAGCTGAGCGTAGGCAGTCCAAGTTCAGCAGTACTCCATCATTCAAAACCAAGCTACAAAAGCTCATCACTTGCCCTTTAGCATGTCCAGCCCTTTTGCATTTTGATTTTTGCATTCAAATGACAGACATCAAGCACAGATTTTACCACTGTTCTCTGTTAGCTGAAGGTTTATAAAAACAATGTCTTAATTTCCTGGTTTTTTGTTTGTTTGTGGTTTTTTTTCCTTCTCATTTGTAAATGGAATCAGGTAAGTAAACTTACCTCCTGTGGCTTTACGAGTGCAGGTACAGTATTGAACCTACTTTGTACTAAAATGCTGTCTCATGGTAGAAATGTTCCTCAACTGGTTTAGGTCACAGACTTTAAATTTTCAAGGCCAGTTTACAGCATCCAATACCTTTTCCACGCTAACCAAAGCCATCATTTTAAAGGCTGCTCAGTCTCATCCCTCTGTTCTTCTTATCCCTCCAGCCAAATCAAAGCTCCCCAGCATAATCACAAATGAAACTGACAAAAGTTTCCCTGAAACTGCTATGGAGCACGACTGACTTCTTTGAGAGATACTCTATTTTGGTTAAGGTGATCTAAGTATCTTCTAAAGATGAAACTCAAACTCACCTACTTAACTCACTCTGACTTAATTTGGGGTGCTTTATTAGCAAGCAGTGTAAGACAAAGTAGCTACTATAATATAGAGTGATGTTTAAATTAGTTTACAATTTGCTTGGGCTCATCTAGAACTGCTCTGAACAAAGCCATTCAGAAATGTCAGCTGTGTTCCTAACCACTGTAACAAATTGTTGCCTGAACGCTGCACACCTAATGACTTCAAATTAGCTCCACTGCGATATTGCCTGACAGTTCGTTACGACTGTTAGCAACATAGCCGGCGTATCATGACCAATAAATTGGTTTCAGTGTGGGCTGGGAAAGGGACTTCCATCAATTTGATTAAAGAAATTACTGTAGCATTCAAAGCATAAAGACAAACTAGTTTAAGGAGACAGAAATAAGTTAACTGTACCAGAAAAACATCGCTTGTGATACAAGAGCTTGTCTATACACCATTTGTGGCAACAGAGAGTGACTAAATCTCAAGTCGCATATTCACTATTTTAGAGCCTGCAGGTTGTTGTCTTTCATCCAAAATAAAATAATACTCCATAAATGTACAAATTACTATTATTCCCTTATTGTGTTTATATATTTATTGCATTCATATTTATCAAAGATGACCCAGAAGAACTGGTTAGTACAAGGGGTTAAAAAAAAAACCCCAAGAAACAGCAAGAATATTTCTTTGTGATTGGCTTTGAAATAAGAAATAAAATATATCTAACTTCGATAAACAAACAACTGGATTATTTATTCTACTATTAAAGTATCGCAAAATCACATCTAAAATGAGAGTGACGTATTATTCTGAGGAATTAAAGGTTATCCAGTCTCATGCTTAATAAGGCTCCACTATCAAAATTAGAAAACTAATGAGCTGACAAAAACACACCAACATGCTCACTCATCTACTGGACTAGAAAAATACCTTAAGAAACAATAAAGAAAGCTGGCCTTTTTTTCTGTGACTTTACTGTTTGTGAAAGGTGATAGACTGAGAACCCTGGAGACTTCTCTGAGTTTGTCTGCTAGCTCACAGAGCAAGAACAAACACCTCAGCACTGGGGGGAAAAATATACCTGAATTGTTATCTGAAGGAATCGCTAATCTTCTGAGAAACTGCTTTTGATGACCCCCATTTTTCTTGCTAATAAGAGTGCCAGTCAGCTTTTACAGTATCAATGCATTAACGTAAAGTAGACTGCAGTCCATTTCTTGCAGACCAAGGAAATACTGAGTTGTAAGAGGAGACTTTTTGGTACAATTCAGTACTTTCTACAGAACTGCTGGTACAATTCCGTTCTCACTCTAGTTCAATCAATGAAGAGAACAATTCCTCTGTGCCTGGCCCAAATATAACTGATTTTTTTCACCTCCTCTGGTCAGTAAAAGGTAGTGCTGCATTTATGTTACAGAGCAGACAGACTTAAATTCAAGTAATGCTGAATTACTGATGGCTACAGGGGAAAGGACTTGCACTACCCTTCATACCGGGCTGATGCTCTGGACAGCGAGGTAAGTTTATCTTTGTAAAAGCAATACATGAAAAAAATTTAATTCACTGAGTAGTATGTAAAATTTAGTAGCACTCACTGCAAGAATACTACTAACTTCCAAGGTCACATATGTTATTATCTAACCCATGTTCTAGGTGAATAAACTGGAACCTTAAGAAAACTTCATGCACTGTAGGGAGAGAAAAATTAGTATTTTTTCCAGAAGAGAATAACCCATGCAATGATTTCTGTATGTTATCTGTTTACAATAAATACTGTATGTACCTGGAATATGCTTAGCCCATCCAATGATCACCACCAGTTCTCTGTCTGCCAGGTCACAAAGAGTGGTAAGTGCTTTGATGTCACTGTCTGGAACAGTGGGGTCAGGCATAGCATAGATCTTCTCTGGTTCAGCCACCAGCAAATGGGAGACAATCTTGTTATCTGTAAAAATGGTCCAGAATAATACAAGATCACCAGTAGTATCATTCCACATTTCAAACAGATGGCTCAGATTTAAAAGTCCACAAGACTTTGTCTTAAAACACTCGACCTAATTACATCTTATCGTAACTTCATAGGCTTCTACAAGTGGTTACAGCACAAACAAATCTGATCCATTAACAGTGTTTATCAAGCCAGACAGACATGTATGTTCTTAGTACAGTAAATTTAATGGAACACAGAAACACATGATTACCTTCTATTACAGAAGTACAAACTTTATAGGAAACGATTCATGCATTATAATATACTTTGGACTGTGCAAATAGAAAAGTTTTGCCTGCCTGTAACTGCCTGTGACACCTCCCATTCCCAAAGGAAAGTGTATTTCTTGAGCGAGTAACTACCATAAGCAATTAGTCACTGAAATCTGCACCTTCTGTCAGCAACTTCATTACCATTGTTTCTATTAGATGTTGCTGTTAAACTAAAGCCACAAAACTGATCTCAGGACTTTCTCAGCACTCATTATCTCAAATATCTTAAATTAAGGTATCCTGCCTGTTGGATGTTAAGAATGAATCTGTATTCCTTGGGGCGTATGCTGTAAGAAAAATGGGGTGTTGTCTTACATGAACTTGATGTTCAGTGAAAGACAGAAACTTACAATCAAGTATACAATTAGCTTCTTTAAGTGCAAAAATACCCTAATGATCTCCTTTCATTTTCAAACAGGAATAACCATAAAATCAATGAGAACAGTGTGAAACATAAAAGTATGCAAACTTTACTTCAGAAAACTCGTTTTGTGCAAAGAATGATACTTTATCATAGTCACATACTGCTTATTTTTATCTATGTAGCATTTTCATTCATGTGTGTAATATTTACTTTTTCATCCAGATGAGTTGTGAAATCTATTTGGAATAATCAATTAAGTTATATGGAAGAGTGTAGAGAAGAAAAAAGAGGAGTAGAGCCTGGAGGATTTACAATACAGTGTTGCTGTTCTATAAGTAGGATAAACATAAAATAAGCACTATATCCATGTGAAGGCACAATGGAAATATTTTATCTCTATACAGGAGCCTGATTTATTACTCTGAGAAGGCAGAACTGAAAAATGGAAAAACAGACTAATTCATTAAGCCTCCTAATACAGGATACATTATTATACTTCCCAATATAGTTACATTTTATTTTTCATGGTAGGCACATCTTTTGACCTCAAATGCACCATCACAATTTAAAGCCCAAATGGCACCTTTCACTGATTTTACACAAATCTGTTCCCTTCAGTGGGATAAAGAGTTATGGGGCCTGATGTAAATGGGATTCTACCATGAGAAGATGCCAAGTATTTTCTGACTGGAGAGAAAGCTGCCAGAACTAGTAGAATTTTCCCCATCTGCATAAAAGTCACAGGATGGACCACACTGTCCTTTTGCAGTGGAAGCTGACTGGGATGTGACTTGCCCAGCAGTGTCAGAGGGGATTCCTACTAGACCATGACATATTTCCATAACATACTCACTTGATTCAGATTTCTGATACTTTACTGCTCTTTTGTGACAGAGACTCCTTGATTCTGATCTACTGTCTTGACAATTTTTGCCTTATTCCAAATTCGTGTGTCAGAAGTTGTGATATATGTTAGTCCTTCATGTAATAAGTGCAAGAGCCAACTGGAAACCATCACATTGAGTATGTTTTATTACAAGGGGATACATTCATGCTTTATATGAACTATAGGAACTACGCCAACTGAGCAATTCTTGATCTCAATATTCTACTGATTATCAGAGTGATTAATGAAGAATTCTATTCTTATTTAAAGATGACAGATGGTAGTTTTAACTTATATTGGCAAACAGCCTTCGGACATTTTTTTAATTCTTTAAACAGTATCTTCATATCCTTTTCAATTTCACACAGAAAACATGGGAGTTAGAAAAGTTAATATCACTTCTTCCAAAATTCCAATATTTTTTACATGGTTTGAAAAGTAGAATAAATGAATTACAGAGTTTCTTAACATCCAACTATACGTAGCTGAGGACTTGAGCTTTGTGGGGTTTTAACCAGGTGTAAATGTATGCCCTCTCAACCCCAAGTTCTGGGACTTTTTTCCAAAGAAAAAAAAGAAATGGCCAAAGAACCTCTTCCATTTTTGTATAAGGTTCCTCACCAATGGCATTGTCTAAATGATTCAGGAATATTGTATATTTTGATTCAGGATTCACAAAATTTTTTTTTTTATTATTAATTTTGTAATTGATAAGATCTACAGGCAGGCCACTAGATTACATGGTGAAGCTGGAAAATACAATAGAGATCAGAAGTAAGTGTAGAGAAGTTCCTCCAAATACCTGTTCTTTCACTGTAAAGGGAAAAAACTACATGTATTGGCTCATGCATAGAACATAGGAAAATTCTGAATGTAGTTAGAAAACTCCATCACTCAGGAAATTGAATACCCATGAGCACTGTTTCTAAGTAAATCTTATTTAATGTTTCCCTAATTAGAATCAATAGAACCCAATTTTCAATCCTGCGCCTTTGTTGCACTCAAACTATCAGTCAGGGTCCAGAAAAATCTCCCAGGCTACTTCCACACCAACCCAATTCAACTGTTTCAAGTCTGGACACTTACCTGTCAAGATTTGGAAATTAAGTTTTACAAATGTTTGTTACAGGAATGTTTGCAATTGGACAAGTTGAAAATGAAGGGAGGCACTTAGATAATGAGTAATGATTTATGAGGAGGTTAGTTTATCTCAGACAAATGGAGCTTACAGAAATTGGTGTAGTTATCGTCTTAAAAGTAATGTAGTACCACTTTGCAGTAATCATGGGTTTACACAGAAATTCTTGGGTTTTGGTACAACTGCCTTAACCTCAGTTCATGCCTTAAGGGCTTGGGGCTTTTGGGTTGGGATTTCCTTTTTTTTCTGTTTGGTCTTGGCTTTTTTGGTATGTTAGGCTACCGACATTTCTACTCAATGACAATATCAAGTAAATGAAACACTGAAAATCTGTGCACCCAGGAAAACTAAACCTCTAATGAAATTAAGCATTAGAGTTTATTAAATTTTATTGTATTATCAGAAAGTTTTTATTATAATGTGCAAAATCTGCTTAGTGCAGCCCTAGATTGTATTTACAGAACAGTGGGACAGCTTATGGAGGCTGAGTAGAAGATGCCAGATTGGACAATTGAAGGAATATAATCAGCATAATGTTTTTTGGAAAGGCAAAAGGAAACTATGCCATATGTTCACTTAAGCCTTAATTTTATGTAAAACTGGCTGTTTTTTCTTTGACACAGCTAAAATGCCCTTTCACTTACAGTTCAAAGACTGTTTATTTGCTCTCCAGATCCCCATATGCTCGAACGTATTGTACACAGCACTGTCCCCTACTGGGGAACACGATCGGAAACGAATTCCATTTTCAGGTATTTTCAAGCTAAAACTGACATGTGTTTTGTCAGAGGCTTAGGGGCAGAGGCAAACGGGAGAATTTGCCCTCCTTATTTCTCTGACTTATTTATCCATTTTAGGAGCGAATTAACCTTCTCAGCAGGAGCAACTGGACATGTGTATTCTCGTTTGAATTTGGAGGAGTTTACAATACTTAATACAGCATGTATGCCTTTTCAGGGTAATACACCACCCTCTTGCACTACAGCTATAATGCTATTAAATTTACTTCATGGAATTAGTACAGTCGCTGCTTGAGTTTATATAAGCTGCAAAGCAAAACCCCTAACTATTTTTAGTTAATCTCAAAGAGGATGGAACTTGTATTTTAGCAATGAGATGATCATCTCTCTCTCTCCCTCCTAATTTCAGCCTGGCAAGATACAATCAAGGACATTATTAAAACACAACAAAACAGAGCAAAAAAAAATCCAAGAGGGTACTAGAGCTCAAACTAACAATGTCTGCTTTGTTATTAATATGGCATATTGCTGTTTTAATCTAATGCTAGGTAGTGTATTAATCTATAGGTATAAATTAATGAGGCTCTTAATGTATTTTCATTGGGAGGTTGAGCAGTCGAACTCATTTAGTTAGTGAAAACTACAAAAATCACTTTCTTGTGAAATCTGAAAGTAGAAGCTTCAATGAGCTAATGATCACAGTATGAACCATTTTATGTACCACTGAAAATAAAGATAACCTGTAAATGTAAAATTTTCACTGCATAAACCATGCTTTTATACACTTCCACCTGTAAAAAGCACTCTTTGTTCAACTCCACTTGAGAAAGATGAGCGTATTTAAAACCAAACCTGTTAACAACTAAATTGATATCGTCTTCATGGCAATATCCTCTGACCAAACCCTTGTTCCACTCAGAAGGAGCTTAGCGAAGAGGACTAGGAGTCAATATACTTTGTACTCAAAGAGAAATTTTGTGTATCTGGTGTACTCACATGGCTTTTTTGCTGGCTGAACTAGCTGAGGGTTCAGGTATGGGCTGTTCTCTGCATCTATTCTGCGCTTGTACTTCTGGCGACCTCCGCGTACTCTGTCTAGGCGGACACCTACATTTGGAAAAATAAGCAAACATGTAATTAAATGTGTTATGAGGATGCCTTTTAGGTAACAATCTTCTACTTCCTGCCTTCCAATATTTATATTAAAAGCATGTTTATTTCAAAAGACTAATTTTAGAGAGCAAGGGAAATCAGCACTACAAGTATTTGCAAGCTGTTTAGATTTTCACACAAGCAAGACCAAATATATAGCATAATTTCTTGTTTGTTTAAAACCATTCATTCATTTTTACATATTATTAAAAACAGCTAACAAGTTTAGTTTCTATTTGAAAGAGTCTGATCTTCCGTCATCTTTGCCAGAAGAAGTTCAAAGATATGGAAGCCTAACATTATGAGTAGAGAAGTACAGAGAAACAGAACTTTAGAAACAACGAGTGCTGTAAAAAGTTTAGATAGTCAAAACCAATGCTTTTAATTAGGACGGATTAACATGGTCAGAGGGTACAAACTAAGTATCCTTAGTAAAGTAAGAACATATATGTGGCCTAAAGACCTGAAATGGTTCATGAGGGTTTGAAAGAAATTGTACAGGGAAGGCTTCGTGTGCATGTGATTCTCATGCACCCAGATGGACTGTTGGCATCTATAAAGGTTACTAACACAGAAGATACTCCGCTTAAGGACACAACCAACATCTGCAACTATAATGCAGTGAATTGTATACAACAGTGCTCAGTAGCTTTTGCCCACCAGAAAAGTGGGTAATGATCACCTCAACAGTGAAATTTAATTTGTTTTACTGCAGAAGACTGCGTATGTCACTCTGTCAAACTCAAGAAGCACATTTCTCATTGTATGCTACCAATTATGATTTTGTGAATCACATTAAAAACCAACCACACACCCAAAGAGGTCAGTAAGTGTATAATTATGAACAAAACCTTATTTATGGTAATTACCTATATAACTTGCGACTGATTCATGGTCTAAGCTATTTGATAAAATTTATGGTGATCTGATCAATGGAGCATGGTTATTTTTGTTTGGTTTTAAAGTTATACTTAGAAATGTGCAACTACAAGACCACTTTAAAAACTGATGACTCAAATATTTTCAGAACTAATGATAACTCACTGGTCTTCACCCTTGAATCAGGAGCTTGAGGTACACCTGAAGCAAATGACCTCCAGGACGATACATTGTCATAAAAACAAATAGCAAAAGACCAAGGTTTGATAGTTGAACATTCAGAAATAGGCAGAGGATTAGAACTAGGCACATGCAATATTGGTGGGATTATGAAAAAGACTGCCCAGCATTTGAAGAAAAATAGATAGAAAATGATTTTTGCATAATTCAGATGCCATCTTTCTTTCTGCTTGGGAGCAGATTCCATAGTGATAAAAGATGGATAGCATCAGACAGAAGTATGTTTAATCAAAAGGTAATGGAACTGAAGCTTAAATTAAAATAATATAAATCTACCAAGATGAACAGTTTTTTTTACCTCCTTTTCATTTGATGAGATACACGGTCAAGCCATTCACATACTCAATGGAGGAAATACAGACAAATATCACAATAGCAAAATTATACTTAGATCCATGCCCTCATGTAATATACACAGATGTATCTGCAAATAAGGCTTGCCTTAAAAAAAAATTCTAAATAACCAGGGAGAAACTGTATTGCACATTTTAAAATTACCTAGGTCTGTAATAGTACTAATTCTAATGTGAAAACATTTTTGATAACATAATACCAATGGACTATAAATTAGAGGTTTATAACCCTTTCATTAAAACTGATACAGAGTTTACCATCATTTTGGCTTTTAAATTTTCCTTGCTCTTACTACTAGAAGAAAGTAGCTACCTCAGAATCAATTTCTGATAATCTAACACACCCTAAGTGGTATTTTACTTCCCAAGAGTCCTTCTGGAAGTAAACACAATGCAAGACACTGCTTAGGAAACTGCACCCAACTGACATTCCATAAAAACCCTGAAGTTTGGCACGTACCAAACTGAAATCCAGAGGTTCCCATGTATATTCATGCATTTCCCCCTGTAACTCCCATAGCTTGTATGAGAGAATTCATGACGTAAAGATACATTTATCTGCTCTCGAGACAGTAACAACTGATGCCTCCTTTGTTAGAAAAACAAAGGGAAGAAAGGAAAACCTTTTTTTTCCACAAAAATCTTCATTTGGTGCAGGAGGAGCTTTATGTCTCGATCACAGATGCAACTGCTATAATTCCACACAGTCTGTATTCAGATTACTAAGGAGGATATTGTGGCATCTAGCTAATGTACTAGGGAGAAGTTAAGTAGAAATCTGCTTTAGCTCCGCTGTGCATGTGGCTTGCCAGAGTCTTCAGCAACTCAGTTCACTCATCCTACCAGTCTTCAACCATGAAGTGAAAAGAAAGATACACGCTCCACCCAAATAAACTCACGTACCATCGCCCAGTGAACTGCATTGTTCATATTATGATTACAGCTCTTCAGGGTCAAAACATCCATTAATGTCACTGAACACAGTTCCACTGGAGACAGGGAAGTTGTCTCCCTGCACTCCCTAATGCTCATTTTAAAATCCCTCAACAAACAAAACCAAGAGCCCCAATGAGAAAAACAGGGTGACCAAAGAGTAAAAGTAGGAAGAATGGGCTTGCCACCAGCTGGGAGTCCACTTACATCCAACACTCAAGTGCAACACATTCACTTTATATATCAGTACATGCCCAGCTCATGAACTCACCTGTTCAGGAGTGATGGGTAGCAACAGATTTAGACATGATTTACAAATCTAAGAAGTTAAGGATTAGACTAAAACTGTAGTATATGGAGACTGGGAACCTATGTCAATCAATGCAATACCTACTTTTTTCAAAGAAAGCAATTACACATACTAATACAGCATAAGAATTTCTCCAGCTTGTCTTGAGGGAAAAAAATGCTTTCATAGTCACTATACGAGCTTCTAGCAAAAAAAGATTACCTCCTGGTTCCTTACATAATCTTTGCATGATTTCTATCAAATGCTTACTAACACATAACAAAATTACACTGGGCACTTGCTCTACAGTGGATGTGTCCACATAGTCTTGCACAGGAATAACTGAGGACTAGAGCTGCTGTACCAAATGAGCTACCCACCACGTACTTCAATCTAAACACACTTAACAAAGGCAAACCTGAACTCATTTTCTCTGCATTTCCTTGTCTGTTCCTCCCTCACCAATAAATCCAAATTAGTATTTCTATTCTCTGTTCTAGTCCTTTTCTCACATTGCCTTAAAGACCTCATGTGGGACAGGTACTCACTGTGACAATGCTACATAATGAAAAAGACTGTCCTTATTATGGATTTAGCAAGTTAGGTCCTCAGTATGATAATCCCAATGAACCATGTCATCTCATTTTCCATACAGATCCAAGCCATTTAAAAGTACATATACTCTTTAATCCCTTAGCACCTACCCCTATTCTTTTTTCCATCCCCCCCCCCTCACCTTGGCTACAAGTTTCCACTGTTCATTTGTTCACTTGACCCACAAATATTCTTGTCCTTTCCATGGACCTCTATACCCACAAGAAATTCTCAGGCCAAATTGGAAGGCATTAATCCAATTCCTTTAAAACAAGACCTACCCACATCAGGACTGCCTGTAAGGAATTGTTCACTACCTTTAATCGTGAAGCTTTATATTTTGGAAAAAAAAATCTAATTCACATAAATATGAACTAATATCTGAATAAATCAAAAATCCCTCTCTACCTTCCAGCACATCAGAAAAGAACAGGTTTGAGGTCAGAAATTTCAAATTCTGCTTTCTTCTTGTTTGCCCTACATAAGATGCTTATGACAAGCTGGTATGTTCTACATCAATGCCACTCTGGCAAGCTCCACCTCTAACACAGTATTTGACAGGTACCAAATACATTCCTATCTCTTTTTTTGATACATGTAACTGGCTACCAATCCATTTTCTACAGATGTCTGCAAGATTCCCAGCATTGTGCTAAATTTTACAGAGAGATTGGTAAGAATGAATATCCCCATAACTGCATGTTGCCAAGCTTCAGAGGAGTATCAGTAGCAGAGGAAAAAAAAAAACCAGATTAACAGCAAAACTGGAAAGCGCAAAAAGAATTTTACTGGAAGGTTTGGATGTGGTTCTCCTTTGGGATAGCATCTTGATAGAGTGTTCCAGTTCACCTGATTATTTATAAGATTGCTGAGTGAGCTTGAGTGAATATTATAAACTGTGTTTTGCTTTTATTCACATAGAACAGAAAAACCAGCTATTTTTCCACTATGAACAAAGGCAGAATGTATTTAGACTTAAGAATGCACAGTCACCTGGATACTCTGTAGACACTTCAGTAACCTCTATAGTTTGGCATTAGAGGCCAGTGCATTAACTCCTCAATCCGAAAGATTTGTAGTGGGAAAAATTGCTTCCACTTTATACCATGCAAGTCCTCTCTTAGTAAGGTAAAGGTGCAGAAAGTAACAGTGCTTGAAGAAATAGGATAATATGAGCTATCTTTTTCTTCTGGATCTGCATATTGTTTTATGTGATGAATTACAAAGATGCCAGAGGGCTTCTGAAATCAGTTTACGAAGTATCTGGATAACAAATGCAGGTAAAGATCCAGCTAGAGATGTAAAATACATGTCTACTAGGCAGGCAAGATTTTGAAAACAGGGTCCTAAGTCATCAAAGAAGATAAAAGCTATGACTCACATTAAAGCTTTCCTGATCTACAGCTGAATTAACAATTAGCAGGGGAAGGCTTTAGTGTTTTGTCTTCTGATAGCTATCTGCACAATTAAACACATTACTTAGTGTAGTATAGGAAGTCTAAAAATCATCTTCCTACTTTACATTCAGTCAGTACCAAAAAGAATTTGCTAACATGGGATAAAATTGGCTGTCCCCTAGAGATGCCTATAAAACAATTTAGTTCATGAACCAACCTATATAATTGATTGAAAGACAAAACAGGGCTTATTATTTTAATATCTAACCT